TTTGAATTGAATTTGAAAACAAATTTGAATTTGATAACAAATTTGAAATATAAACATATTGCTGATTATTGCTGATAGCCTTCAAAGACTATGTGCTTTAGTTTCAGAATATTGCCGCTTTCTGAAATTCAAATTTTTTAAAAATAATAGAATAGAATAAAACAGAATAGAAAAGATTATAAAATAATAGAATAAAATAGAACAAATAAAAAAGGAATCAAATAGAGTAGAAAATAAAAGAATAGAATTAAATAGAAAATAAAAGCATATAATAGGATAGAATAGAAAAAATAGAATATAGCCATATTCCAAAATTTTAATTTCGAAAAAAATAAAAATAAATCAGAATAGATTATAATAGAAAATAAAAGAATAGAATAGAAACAAATAGAATAAAATAATAAAACAGAATAGAATGAAGTAGAAAATACATGAACAGAATAAAATAGAAAATAAAAAAGAAGAGAAGAGAAAAAAATAGAATAGAATATAGCCGTCTTCCAAAATTTGAATTTAGAAAAGAATAGAATAGAACAGAATAGAAAATTGAATAAAATATAAAGAAAAAAGAATACAATACAATAGAAAGGAATATAATAGAAAATAAAATAATAGAATAGAAAAGAAAGGCATACAATAGAAAAAATAGAATGGAATAGAATAAAAACAAAGAATATAACTGTCTTCCAAAATTCAAATTTCGAATAGAAGAGAACCAGCTATTCTTCACAATGAATTCAGATCTGTTCAATATTTGAATTCAATTCAAATTCCATTCTAATACTTCAAATTCATTGGAAAAATCTGAATCCAGCTGAAAATGAATAAACTAAACAAATTTGGGTACAAATACAACTAAACAAAATTAGTAACTTAACAAATTGATACAAAACCCCACATTATTTTGTTCTGCCTATGTGTAGGATGTACATAAATGTGTTGAGTTTGTTTGCATATTGTCACCTTGAAAAAAGAGATTTGTGAGTATCTTAAGTGTCTGTTTTTTGTTGTTGTGTTTTTTTGGGTTTTTTTTAATTAGCTATGTTTCTCTACTGAGATCTCAGTAAAATTTGAGGTTCATTCTTTTTGATGTGCTGGCCATTTTTGTTTGCTGTTGACCATGCTCCCTCCATCAGAAGGTAAAGGTGAAAGTGCAGAATGATTGCTATAATAAGGTAAACAAATTTGTCGCCCACATCCACACTTGCATGTGAAGGAATCCTAAAAAGGGTCTATGTCTCTCTTTAGAATTTCACTTTCTGTGCACTGATTGTGCAGTTTTGCTTTCCTACTGTGCTTTCTGTCAGTTATCTTTCTGTTATCATGAATGAACTAAAATGGCATTCTACTTAAGTAATGAATCTCTGTTTTGGTTCAGAATTCAGAAGCACCTGCACTTCATAGAACATTGGTTTTCTATGTCAATGGCTTTTTGTCCCTTGTGGTCATTGTGATATACTGTATGCCATGTTAACAGATGCTCTCATCTGTGTCTATATATATTTGAAAGAGGAAATCATTTCACTTTCTCCCACTGACAAAAAGGCAGATCACGCCCAGAGGTATAAGATCTATACTGGGATGTCTTCACATTATGGTTTATGGCATCATCTGGTGGTTAATGGTAAAAAATGCATCACAGTATTGTTTAACTGTACAATATACATTTCTCTACAGAGGGAATGTTAGAAACTAACTACAAACCAAGTATGTCACATATTGTCTGCTATTTCATTTTGTTTTTCTTTTTTTTTATTCACATCACATCTGCAACCACAGCTGTCATGCATAGTTTATTTTCAAAAGAAATTAACATTGTTTGTAATTTTTGCCAGAATCGTTGGCAGCAAGTGTTGAAGTTGATAATACCTGTTATGTATTTTAGATTAATTAATAACAAAACCTGATTTTTAATTACATTTTATTTTTGACAATGCATAAATGTAAAGAGAAATTGTCACCTAAAAGAACACCTGGGGACTGAAACATGAAAACTTGGCAAGGAAGCATGTTAATTTGATAACTATTAAATCTCCCTCCAATTTGTGCCAATTCATTTTTCTGCCTAGTCACTTCTGGGGGGAGATAAGGGTGAGAAACATCTGACTTAAAGAGGGAATACCTTGCCTTAAACTATCCAATATTATATATTTGCAACAACTTGGGAGACCCTCAAAATTATAGAGTTATGAATAAGCTGCAGTGGCCACGTCATGGCACCACAGTGCACTGCAGTCCTATGTTTGCAAATGTGTGCAAACTAAACCCCTTGTTTTTAAAGTGAACTGTTAGACAAGGTCAATTCAGTTTGTTGAAGGCTGGCTGGTAAGTGAGCTAGGAATGTTTTTTTTTTTATTTACATGTGTTGCCCTTCCATGTGCTTCTTGCTGCAAAGACAAGTTATAGGTTGGGTGGTTGCTACCTTCAGCTGCCGTTGTGCTCTTGCTGGGTGTCCAGTGCATTCCTGTATCTTTGAGGAGAGGACTCCCTCCAGGCATACCCGCCCTTGATCTATCCATTATTATATATGTGCTCCAACCTGGGACACTCTCAAAATTATAGAGGTAAGACTGCAGTACACTGGGGTGCCATGACGTGGCCTCTGCAGCTTACACATATATTTGCACATGTGAGCAAACTCAACCCTTGTAAATTGTTAGACAGGGTCGATTTGGTTTGTTGGCTGGTAAGTGAACTGGGAACTTTTGTTTGCTTTTGACTCAATTGCTATGAACATTAAGAATGAATTCCTCATTGGTGCATGCATCTACACAGACCAGTGAAGGCTTGTTTTAAAGCATACTTACTTATTACATTTTGAATAGATTAGGGAATGATTAAAACACCTGCCAAGTTTTATTTTTTTTGTCCTTTGAATCCTTTTGAGAGCATTTGGCTACACTTTCTGTCCTGTAAACACAACAGTTAATGAGAGAAAAAAAATCTCACCTAATTGAAGGAAATCCCAACTTAGGCAGCTGTTACCAGAACACATGTCCTCATTGGAAGACACCCCAACATTTCAGATTTCCCCTGACTTTCCCAGTTAAAGTGGCTACCAGGAAAAAAGGAGGGTGATCTCCTGTAATTGGGACACAGACAGAAATAAAAATCTAACAGGGTCTCTTAACCCTCACTTCTCCATCCAAAAATAAAAATTATTTTTTAGGGTAATGATATCTATCTTCCTGGAATATATGACCTGGGGAATCTTGAAAAAACTTTCACTCTTCATGGCAAGACTTTATCCATCTTTTGGCTATACTGCCCACATTTTAGATAATATAGAAATTATATTACTTTATAAGCCTTTGCCTGTCTGTTATCTTTTAGGATCATCCATTTGCTCCAATACTAGTTTAATATATCTGAATTTTTGATAGGCCTACTACATCCTCTGATGGCCTCACTCCATCCCTTGTTATGTCTGTGGGCTCTTTGGAGAGCACCCCCTGGAGAAACTCAACCTCACCCTTGTTGTTTTTTTTATGTTCAGTATATTGATGTGCAGTGGCGTCCCGAGGCAGGTGCGTGGGGTGCGGTACGCACCGGGTGACATCGACCGCACAGGGTGACACCGGACTCGCTCCACAAAAAGGTAAATTGTAAAGCAAGCTGACGATCCCCACAGGATGGATCCAATCCATGCCGCGGGGATCGTCGGCTTTCTTTACAACTTACCTTTTCTTGGAGCGGGTCCTGTGTCACCCCGTATAGGTTGCATGCCGACGATCCTCGTCGGCATGCAACCTATACTGGGTGACACCGGACCCACTCCAGGAAAAGGAAAGTTGTAAAGAAAGCCGACGATCCCCGCAGGATGCATCGGATCTGTGGATTGAGCATAATGGATCGGAGTCCGATCCATTCTGTGGGGATCGTCGGAGGGGGTGTCACCAAGTGTTACGGCACAGGGTGACACCTCTGTTGATGTGAGATGTTTTCCGCAGGTTCCCTTTAAGACTCCTCCATATAATGTAGTCCCTACCTAAATCTGTAGATGAATGTTATTGCTAAAGGAGCACTTGCAGTAAATGTTTAGTAAAGCAAAGAAAATAATGAAGGCCTTTGCTGATTTGCCATTCTGAAAAAAACTTGTTGCCTAGCTGTTATTCTATTAGAGTAAAGGGAAAGGCCATTATCTGTACACTTATTCCAATTGCGTTACTTAATACATTGATGCCTGAGAGTTGTCATGACAGCCAGGCAACTATTATGTGAGCCTCAACAGTTCCCTCACATACAGTAAAATGTTCTTTATCAAACTCGGTTTACTCTTTTTCCTCTTATACTTATTTAATAGATTTCATGGAGGAGGAAGTGTCATCTATCTAACCCAACTCCAAACATTTTTTATTTGGAGTGGAGAAATAATATTGCTTCTGTCAGGTGCTTTTGTGGTCTGTGCCCCAATTGGGAAGATATCCTGTTGGACAAAAACTTATGGGAAATCTCTCCAGAGATGAAGCAGACTATAACATAACTGCCAGGTTAAATAGTGAAGAGCTAGAACCTCTGTTAGGTTATTATTACTGCCAGTCCCAGTGACAATTGTTTGCATTTCTTGGTCTGCTGTCATAGGAATTGAAAGTTATGTGAACTCTCCCCAACATGTCAAACAGCAATAAAAACGTGTTAGAAGCATTTAACCAAATCTACATATGAAAAAAGTTTTGGTTTGAGTTAAGTTTTAATACAGTTTTACTGAGTAACTGAAAAATGAAGTCCTTTAGCAAATCAGCCCCAGTGAATACCAGGTAGTAGTGAAGGGTTAATCTGCCGGGGTTTGATTCACCGAGGATTCGGTGATTCTTCCTAGAAATTTTGCAAACCTAAACACAGAGTTGAATTCAACTGAAGTCTATTGGGGGGCAAATGTTGTTGTTAAAGTGTTACTAAAATCACAACAGTAAAATCAGTCTGTATGTGCAGTAAAGTATGCTTGTTATACTCACTGTGGAACCTAAGTGGTTAATCCTCTGCATTGTGTAAAAAGGCCATTTGATCATGTCTTCTCCGCTCCTCCTCTTGTTCAAATGTCCACGTCTTATCTCCTGATAAGACAGACTGAACCTCTAGCTATTCTGCACATGCTCAGTTTGTTGCGTATTGCTAAAGAGGTTTTTTTTTCTTAGGAGAGTGCATGCAATCAGCACAGGGTAAATCAGCATTGTACAGATAGAGGTCAGGGGTTTTGCATCCTCCTAGAGCAGAAAGAAAACTCCTCCTACAAGCTTTAACCAGTGCCCTGCTGACCACTGATAGAAGTCACAAGATTGCTCTAACTGCGATGAGAAAAGGTATTTAGCAGTTTATATTTATTAAAATAATTGCATTTCCATGCTCTGTGTACTGTAGGAGACCAGATATAGTGAATGCAGGGTCCTGGGTTTAGTAACACTTTAAATGGCCATTTTTAAGATGAATAGGCAAACTATTGTCAAAAAGGCATGGAAACAAAGCACTGCCATGGGGATATGCAAAAAAAAAAAAAAAAAAAATTAAAAATTACTGTACGGCAGGGGGAGGGTCTTACATGCAGCTTCAACTTTTTGAATATACAAATCTTTTCTGCCATATTTACATTCTTGTTGCTCATTAATGCATGTGTGTTACCATGTGTCACGATAAGGAAGTTGATTGACAACAGACTAAAACAGAAATCAGATGTGCCACAAACTTTGTATTGCAAGGCAGAAACAATGCACTATGGTGCAATACAGTGCATTGTGGCAAGCTGCAACACATCTTGGTGCCTTAGTGCATTTGGATGCAATTCAAAATGCATGGCACTGCAGAAAAGTATGTAACTTGTTGCTGCACATTGCAATATTGTGCTTGTTACTACAATGCAGTACATTAAATGGGCCCCTAAATACCATGCTGGAGGAATGCCTTAAAGCTATATATGGTTTTATAAAACTATGATTTTCACGGACAATCTCAGAGGTAGCATACACTAGCAGCACATATTTGGCTGTGGAAATGATTTTACTTTCCTTTACAATTTTTTTGGCTTCCATAGAGCATCAGCACTCCAATCTGACTCATTTTAGTTTTTAAAAAAGTTTTTTTTTTCTCCCAGTATCTTTAGCAGTGACACATACTTTTTCATCATACAATAATAGGACCACTTTGGCTGCCTGTTAGTGATTGTAATTTACTTTGACTGTTCTGATTATCACTGGCACAAAACTTTCCTGCAGCTGGCCAATTCTATAAAGATTTCAAAACCTGGAAGCTTATTGGTTTCTCTGCAGAGCTACATCAGATTCTGTGTGCTCCAGTTTAAATGAATAACCCCCATTGTTTTGTACCTAGCAAAAAGAAACCCATATTTTAATAAAAAGTCTTTAGAATGAACTCTTCAAGCTTTCAGTCATTTGCTCACTTGCTGACCCACTCCGAGTAAATGTACTGCAAGAGGGCAGCAAGTGCAGGCCAAACAACGTATGTGTACATTGTCAGCTTTCTTCTGGGTTTAAGGTGCACACTCCCTGCTAAACTGTGCTTGATTGAACTCAGCACAAGTTTATCATCAGGTTTCAGCCAATGATTTTGCCTTAAGTATGAAGTGTAGCCAATCACAGCACAGAGTTATGTGTTTACAAACACACAGAACGGCAATTTGGCTGTTTCTTGTCACTGAAAATTAGGGTGAAAACAGCCAGATGTGTGAGTAATAGCAGCATACATTACACTTGTTAGGCACACAATTGTTCCTTTCACTGCCCCATGATGTTAACCCTTCCCAGCCAGTGTTATTAGCACAGTGTACAGTATTATAATATGTTATATTATTGTCACTACTGATATTAGTGTGTCAGTTAGTGCCCATCCCACTCAGCGTCTGTTAGCACCAGATTTCCTACCACAGTATCACAGTCCCACTAAAAGTCAATGAACATCCCCATTATAGTATAGCATCAATAACTGCCTAAATTCCAGTATACAGTATATACCATAGTTTATAGATGGTATAACTTTCACGCAAACCAATTAATATACTTTTATTGGGATTTTTATTACCAAAGACATGTAGCAGAATACATTTTGACCTATATGTTTGAAGAAATTTGATCTGATTGGATATGTTTTTAGAAAATGTTCAGTCTTTATTTGTTTATAAGATAAAAAACCCAATGGTGATCAAATACCACCAAAAAAAATCTATATTTGTGTGAAAAAATTGATGTAAATTTCATTTGGGTACATCGTTGCATGACTGCAAAATTGTCAGTTAAACTGGCACAGTGCCGAATAGCGCTGAATAGTGCCAAAATGCCTTAGTCATGAAGGGGTAAAAACTTCTAGAGGTCAAATGGTTAAAAAGATATCTTTTTTACTCTAATTACTAGTGTACTGTAGTCCTTTTAGTGTCAATCTATTAATTTCATTTGATATTTTGTACTGTGTACAGTAGATAGTAATTGGTTTTAAACAATAAAGCACTATTCGTTACATGAAAATTACTATTATCTAAAGGAAATTTGCATTCTTATTTTGTTTGTTGTGAGGGCATTCAGCAATTATTTGCTGCCGCAGATGGATTTACAAATATAAATTATTTTGGACACCTTCTGTAAGAGACAGGTGGCTCCTAATGAAGTTATTTTTGCCCAGACGGTCTTCATCCCTGTCTACAAATACATACAAACAGCAGAAGGTTTGAGCTGATCTTTCCTTCATGCAGAAACTACAGCTGGTCTGTATAAAAGAGTCTTTCCCTTCCTTCAGCCTTATACAGCGGAATTATAAACGATGAAAGGTAATGCATCATATTAATATTCTTTACTGTACAGTATTTACTGTGCTTATTTAGAGGGAATTTGTCTTCATTGCACAAAATATGTGCAAGGTCAGGCAGAACATTTATTCTCATTTTGCTTTTCGGTAAATATTTAGCAATTATGAAATGCGCACATTTCTCAGGATATATAATGTTTTTAAAGTGGATGAGAGAGACGGTGTGAGTAATGCCGAACAGCAGGAACAGGCTGTGTTCCACCTGGAAACTGCAGCCCCTGCCTCAAAAAAAAAATCATTGCATACAATAAAAGAAGGCCATGCTTCAAGGTCACATTATGTTATAATTAGAAGTTTGCAGTTCATTAAACTACATCAAAGTCTGCCCAGAAACTGCCACTTCCTGGGGATTTTCATTCTCCTATGTCTCCTGCTGCACTCACTGGTTTCTCTTGCTGACCCATACTGCCGATCCCTAGAGAACATAGCAGTGGTATGAAGTTACATTCTAGGTGGGGTGCCTTGTCAGCCCAGTACATGGCACTATCCCCTATAACGTCAAATTAAAAATAAGTAAATCCCTGAATGCCCTACAAGGGGCTGTGGGAAAATGGGGATTTTAGTATACCCAAATACAACTCAAACAGAAACATAAACATCAAGAATAACACATTTTTAATTCCATATTAAAACTGACACATTATCAAAGCCTATATCATCAGCTACAATTCTGGCATGAAGAGTACACATATGAACAAACATGAAATAGAACAGGTGGATCGATGCGTTTCGCCCACAGAGAGCTGCTTCAGGATCCATTTAGTTGTTCACTCTTTAAAACAATGCAGCTGACGAATAACACAATACACAAGTTATTACATATATACAATATATATATATATATACATACAGGTGAAACTCTAAAAATTAGAATATCGTGCAAAAGTTAATTTATTTCAGTAATGCAACTTAAAAAGTGAAACTAATATATGAGATAGACTCATTACATGCAAAGCAAGATAGTTGAAGCCATGATTTGTCATAAGTGTGATGATTATGGCTTACAGCTCATGAAAACCCCAAATCCACAATCTCAGAAAATGAGAATATTGTGAAAATGTGCAATATTCTCGGCTCAAAGTGTCCCACTCTAATCAGCTAATTAAGCCATAACACCTGCAAAGGGTTCCTGAGCCTTTAAATGGTCTCTCAGTCTGGTTCAGTAGGAATCACAATCATGGGAAAGACTGCTGACCTGACAGTTGTGCAGAAAATCATCATTGACACCCTCCATAAGGAGAGAAAGCCTCAAAGGGTAATTGCAAAAGAAGTTGGATGTTCCCAAAGTGCTGTATCAAAGCAAATTAATATAAAGTTATGTGGAAGGGAAAAGTATGGAAGAAAAAGGTCCACAAGCAGCAGGGATGACCGCAGCCTGGAGAGGATTGTCAGGAAAAGGCCATTCAAAAGTGTTGGGGACTTTCACAAGGAGTGGACTGAGCCTGGAGTCAGTGCATCAAGAGCCACCACACACAGACGGATCCTGGACATGGGCTTCAAATATCGTATTCCTCTTGTCAAGCCGCTCCTGAACAACAAACAACGTCAGAAGCGTCTTACCTGGGCTAAAGAAAAACAGACCTGGTCTGTTGCTCAGTGGTCCAAAGTCCTCTTTTCTGATGAGAGCAACTTTTGCATCTCATTTGGAAACCAAGGACCCAGAGTATGGAGGAAGAATGGAGAGGCACCACACTGCAAGATGCTTGAAGTCCAGTGTGAAGTTTCCACAGTCTGTGTTGATTTGGGGAGCCATGTCATCTGTTGGTGTTGGTCCACTGTGCTTCATTAAGTCCAGGGTCAACGCAGCCGTCTACCAGGAGATTTTGGAGCACTTCATGCTTCCTTCCGCAGACAAGCTTTATGGGGATGCTGACTTCATTTTCCAGCAGGACATGGCACCTGCCCACACTGCCAAAAGCACCAAAACCTGGTTCAATGACCGTGGGATTACTGTGCTTGATTGGCCAGAAATTCGTCTGACCTGAACCCCATATTGAATCTATGGGGCATTGCCAAGAGAAAGATGAGAGACATGAGACCGAACAATGCAGAAGAGCTGAAGGCCGCTATTGAAGCATCCTGGTCTTCCATAATACCTCAGCAGTGCCACAGGCTGATAGCTTCCATGCCACGCCGCATTGAGGCAGTAATTGCTGCAAAAGGGGCCCAAACCAAGTACTGAGTACATATGCATGCTTATACTTTTCAGTGGTCCGATATTGTTCTATGTACAATCCTTGTTTTATTGAATGCATGTAATATTCTAATTTTCTGAGATTGTGGATTTGGGGTTTTCATGAGCTGTAAGCCATAATCATCACAATTATGACAAATCATGGCTTGAACTATCTTGCTTTGCATGTAATGAGTCTCATATATTAGTTTCACCTTTTAAGTTGCATTACTGAAATAAATGAACTTTTGCACGATATTCTAATTTTTCGAGTTTCACCTGTGTGTGTGTATGTATATATATATATATATATATATATATATATATATATATATATATATATATA